TTTTTCTTTATTACATTGCCTTTCATATCAAAGTTAATAAAGCACATGCCAAAGAAATGTATGCAATGCTTTTATTTAAAACTCTGCTCTTTCTCTTACAGTTGCAGCGCCTGCGATAGCCTCTTTCCATCACTCATGATACTAGAACATCACAAAGAAGAATTCGAACATTGGAGCGACGATGAAATAAGCCGACGAATTTGCTGTAGACGAAATCGGGGGGAAGATTATTTTACTGATACAGACTCGTTCACGAGTGAAGCTGAAAGTGAGGATCTGGAGAGGCTGTTGTAAAAAGGGGGAACTAAACTATTGTAAAATGGAAAAACTGAATAAGTGTGAGAGAAAATATCAGGAAGTAATTAATGTGCGTATTAAAACCAGCTGCTGGCATATTTATATGTACACATGTATCTATGTACATATATATAAATGAACGAGACAAGTTAAATCTACAGAAAAAGTTAAAACATCATATCTAATTACATACATACATAAATAGACAAGTGCATATGTATATGAATGTATGTATATATTTCTGAAACAATGCCAGCTGCTGGCCAAACAAATCTTTATATACTCTAAGTAACTACAATGGTAGATAAATACATATGTAGAAGTTCTTGTGTATTCATGTACTTAAGCATGTAAAAGTCAGAGAAATGCTAGGAGCAAAGCACATGCTAAATATTTTTTTATATCCTCTCAGCAAACAAGATACAGGAAGTGTACAGCCCCAGGATAAATAAAAATACAAATAGAGTATACATATGTTAACTTGTAAGTTACAAATATAAACTAAAATTTATTACAGATTTCAACTTTTATGTATGTAAATAACTACATATCGAGCCCTAACCGCCAAAATAACGTAAGCGACATTTTTTTCAAAATTTTCTTTTTGTTGCATAAATATTCCTAGAGCATCTAGATGCATTTCTGCAACAAAAAGAAAATTTTGAAAAAAATGTCGCTTACGTTATTTTGGCGGTTAGGGCTCGATATGTTTCAATACTGTCATAACTAATTTAAAAAACAAAAACTCGAGAAAAATTTGAATTTATGTACATATGTATGTATACTAGGGCGGGTCGACTTTTTTCCCATAAAATTGCATATGGGAAAAATGCTCCAAATATCATTCTGAACAACTTTTCTTAAGAAACTATGGGCCTAAAACCAATTTCGAGCTAGCGAATTTTAAGGGAATATTTCATATAAGGTAATACAAAATTTTGTGGGAAAAGCTTAAACAAATAGCTGATTTAAGAGTATAAGGGTACAAAAAGTAGCTAATTTTTTTAAATACGTGGGCGGTGCCACGCCCTTTGTCCAAATTTTTATCATAAACGTATTTTTAGCTAAAGAATTATTGCAAACATCAATTTTGAATAAATTAGCTACAGTATTTTCTGATTTATTGAAGATTTCGTATTTCTCTAATTAACCGTTATAGGGGATGTGAACGTGGTTATGGTCCAATTATAAAAATTTTCAGTTGTTTGGTATGTTGTACCAAGGTCAAAAATTGTCAAAGTTTGGGAGAAATTTGTGAAGCGGTTACCAAGATATACACATGTAGTCATAGGTGGGCGTAGCTACGCCCATTTTCCAAAAATTTATAATATTCTAATTTTTTGTCTAAAAATTATTGTAAGTATCAATTTTGGGTGAATAATCTTCAGTAAATAGTTTCTAAAATATCTCAGTTTCGTATTTCTGAAAATTACCGTTATATGGGAGGTAGGCGTGGTGATTGTCCGATTTTCCCATTTTCAATACCATCCTTCCTACGCCCGAAAGAAGTGCACGTACAAAGTTTCGTTAAGATAGCTAAATTGTTACTCGAGTTATCATTTACACAGACGGATAGACGGACGTGCGGATGGACCGATAGTCACCGCTTAACCGATCTTTTTTTTCAATGCTGATCATTTATGTATTTACAAAAAAAAAATAAACTACTTTTTGTACCCGACACTAATAGATTAGATATTTGTTTAAGTTTTTCCACAATATTTTGTATTACCTGTTATGAAACGTCCCCTTAAAAGTTGCTCGGAATGATATGTAGAGCAGTTTCCGGATATGCGATTTTTCCGTCTTTCTGATCCCCTACAAATCGACCCGCTCTATATTGTATATTCCCACAGTAAAAATGAATACGTATCTTTCTGCTGCTACTGGTAATCGGTACTGCTTTGGAATTTTTTTTAAGCATAGAAGAACAGGTAGCGGTCCTTTCTGCACGCATTATTGAATTAAATGAGTGATATGTGTATTTTAGATGAGAATTTATCAAATATATTTTTAAACGAGACTATAGAAAAAAGCAAGATAATTCTCCGAAAAATCATTTATGTAATTTGAATACATTTTGATGAAGCCCACAGGGCAGGCACTTTTAGTCAGTAAAATAATATATACATTTGTATGTATGACTATAAGTATTTGAAAAATATTTTTGCATTCAAAACCACCTGCAAGCACTGTACAATTTATCAAAAAATTCCAAGCCATATCAAATTTCGGACCTTTGTTTTTAATATAAAATTTTTGAGAAAATTATCTTTCAAAATGTAGCTAATGTTTTATAGTTTTTATATGTATAGAAAATAGAAGTATAAAAGTACCTTCTAATTATAACCTATTAATTACTTAACAGTTATACTAATAAATAAAATTAAATAAAATGTACGTAATGATTTTGATATACATGTGTAAATTTATAATCGAGAGCCCGCAACAGCGAAGAAAGAAAACTTATTATAAGGTAAATATATGGCCCCAAACGAAACTTGTTTTCGAAGTAACAAAATTGTATAAGAAGTGTTGTATATATTCAACCCTTAAAATGGCCTAGGATAGAATAAACATGAAACAATTATTTTGGGGAAATAGACCTTCTACAAAGGGCCTAAAATTAAATAACAAATTTTTATAATTTTTGATTATGTTTGGCAAAAAATTGAAATTTCAACTGAGTTGAATGTCAAATATCTCACTTAATTTAGCTTTATGTTCTGTTGCGACTTTACTTCA